GTATTATATATGTGTGTGTTTTAATATGCAATTTTTATTTTTGTTTCATAGGGTGCTGTTAAAATTTCCGAAGCCCTTATTCAACCGAACCAGAAACCGGTATGCCCCAGAAAATTATTTCTTATTGAATATATATATATATATATATACACCTATACACACTGTATATATAGATATAAAATCAATGACTTTTAACTGTAGGCCTACTAAGTCTTTGCTTGCAATAATTAATCAACTTTCTTCAAGGTCTTAAATTCATTTCTCGTATTTTTCAGACCTTGGAAACACAACTTGACGTTGTTGCCAATGTTGAGCGAATTTTCTTCGACAGAATACCGGAACTATCAAATAATGACACCTTCACATATGCATCAATAAATATTGGTATGCTGTTATGATTATTATTATCATTTTAATCATATTAATTATCTTTTTTATTTTTAATTCACAAATAATTTCACCTACTTCGTGTTTATTTTGGCCTTAATAGCCCTGAATATGCATCCACTAAAATCCAGGAGCGACCCTTGGTTTCATTTCTATAAGGAAAGCGGCAAGCTAACCAGTAAAAGTACGGACTCAAATTCCTTCGAAGGCGAAGCATCCGTTCAATTGAAGTCGAATGGACTTAGCGACGAAGGTACGAACACTGAATAGGCCTATATTTTCTAATGTTTACTAAAATGACTTAATCACGTAGCAAGTAATTAAAATGTCAAAGATGTTCGGGTAGATTGTTTTCTATCCATATGTTACGACTGTGCTTCATTGCTCATACAACATGTGTTGCCATCCTGCCAATGGCCATTCGTTGTCCATCCGGCCCTTAGCCACCTGGTCCTTACCCAATCGACATTTTGGCCATTCGGGACTTTGTCAACCGAAGCCTCTTTTTATCCTGATGCAGTGGTACGTTACTATTGCAAGCATTGTCATCGAGTCATCGTCATGGTCATAATAGAATAATCATCGTTATTATCATTATATTATCATCATTATCGTCGTGGTATTTTGTCACCACCTCCATCATCATCATCACCATCATCATCATCATCATCATCATCATCATCATCATCATCATCATCATCATCATCATCATCATTATCATCATTATCATCATCACCATCATCTATTTTTATCCAACTATTATTCTCCGAAGACATACTAAATCCAATGGCCTTCTTTCATAATATGCAGGTTCTGTGAATTTGTTAGTGTCGTATTTTGAACGATCTGTATTTGAGTCAAGCAGCTCTAACAACAAAAATGATTACTTTCAGTTACAAAGGTAATAACTTCTGCAATTAGTTTTTATTTTCTTTTTCATACTCGTCACAAGGATGGAAAACGATCAAACGTGACAAATATATGAGGTTATATTGTGCCAAAACTCAATGCAATACTTTAATGAATCGTACATGTAGTCAGAAACTTACCGTACTTTATGATATTTTACAGTTAATTGTTGATTTTTCAATTATTGCACCGCCATATCTCAATATGATATCGAGATATGTTTGTACATACGTTTGGTCCCGGCACCAAGCTTTCCTTTACCTTGTATTTTTTAATGAAATTTCTTATGAGAGAGAGGGAGCGAGAGACAGGAAAATGAACATTAAGAGTGAGTAAGACTGTAAGTGACCGAATAAGTTATGTAAGAGTTGCTGAGAGATGATAAGACTACAGTACTAGGATCTCAATGAAGTTGAGTTCATGTACAATATACATGTAGTTTGGACTGATGCTACAAAGTATATATCTTCACAATTCTATTTTAGTGGCGACCAGACTACATATAAATTGCAGAGTGGATTGTTAGCGTGCAAACTAATGAAAAATTACACCAGCTATTCAACGGCCATTGATTTTGTTATGGCTGTGAAGGTAGAGGTATGCCTATTAAAACTGTCTTCGGAAATACACCAGTACGTTTATGGATAGTCTAAGTAGGCCGGGTTATATGCACACTATTAATTAAAGAAATTTACTGAATGAAGTTATTACCGGGACTCGAACCCAGGATCTTTGGCTTACCGTGCGAACGTCTCACCAAATCGACCACAGAGGCCTTTGTGGTTAAGTTGCGTGCAGTAGAGTATTGAGTATTTCATCACTATGAACGAGATCTAATGAGTAATTACTAATAGCACTTGGTGCACTCGGGAACGATCAGAGATCTGAAGATGCGCCCTCGACTGTACATTAGTAACGACACTTTGGATCTCTCGGAAGCGATACTAAA